AAAAAAAAAACTGGTCTGTATCAACCTTTTGAGTGTAGTAATGCATACCATCAATTTTAGAGATATTTTCTCTGTTATTTGTCTTCTGTTCAATTTAGCACAAGCTTTCATTGTAAAACTTTTCTCTGTTCTATATTCATTGCTTAATTCTTTTAGCTGGCAAATATATACCTGAATTATCTTGAAGAAAGGTCTGTTTTAATTAATTTTTGCTACATTCCAAACCCACCTGTGTCAAAAAGTTTAAACTTAATAGGTATACTGAGTGTTACCTAACAATAAAGGTAGTTTATTCAAATGTTGTTTGCCTCTCATTAATAAGTCATGTTAATGTTATTTTTGCTTCCATTTCCTAGTTTCAGTCTAGCTTGATCGTGAATTGAACTCTCGAAGGAACAGTGGTTTGAAGGAATACTGCATGTTGCACAAATATAAAGCGTACATTTCTTACATTTTCCTTTAAGCCTCAGTTTTCTGGTCTTTTAAGCTTCTTTTAACAAACAACTCAAGTTTTATAGATTGGTTTTAAAGCCATTAACGCACCGAATTTCAGCCTTGGACTTGCAACTTGTCAAATCAAAACGAAATGGAAAGGAAAATACTAACCCAGTATAAGTTGCAGAGGAACATTTAGAATAGCTCAAAGCCAGGGTTCTTTGTTCCCTTTCTTCCCCACGCTTTTTCAGAAATGACTGGTTCGGTGTTGTTCTTTCCTTTTGCCAAAGAGCTCAAGGCCATCAGGGACTCCACTACCCCTAACCATACACAGTTTAAACTGTGCAGTTTGTGTTCATTTCCTCAGAAAAGCTTTTTGGATTTTTTTTTCCGAAAAACGTTTTTAGAAAGGTTTTTACTGACAGTGATTTTCCTTTGTTGTCAGCTCCATATTTAGAAATGAACACATTCACTTGCTTTATTGGTCTTTTTCACTTCATTTAAACAGGATGAGATTCAATAAAAACTTCTCTCCGAGGATCGCTATTACAATTCTTTTATTTTGTAAAAAAAATGTTACATGTGTGGCATGCAAACATCAAGTTATCGATGCATTGGGGAGGTGTGCACAATTCTCTGTCACGTAGTAACTTACTGTTAGGAAACTCTTGTTTTGTAAATCTTTATCTTTCCAAATAACAGCAACCTATTTACTCTATTTTACTCTATTCAAAGAATAGTAACATCTTCATTATATTCGAAGAAAATTCATATCTTCATTATATTTTCTTGCTCTTTTTGCTTGGGGTTTTATACAGTGAAACCTCTATTAAGCTGATCCCCAATTAAGCGGACACCCTCTATTAACCGGACACTTAGCCTGGTCCTGAAATTAACATGTTATATTTCCCTTTATAATGAACCCCTATTCAGTGGACACCTCTATTAAGCGAATGCGGACACTAAAATAAATTGTATTTGGCTAATTTCTATTGTTAAAAACCTCTATTAAGCGGACACCGGACTGAATTGACAATGTGGCATTGGATTACGTCCTTGAAATAGTCAATTAAATGTACCTGTATTATCGTTGCTCTATGGAAAGGGCATTAGTACAAACAAATTAAAGTTGGTAATGAAAGCTGATGAACTTCAACTCTGGATAGCTTCGTTAACAACCTGGAACTTTATTACAGTACAGAGGACCTGTTGAATGTTAATTTTTAACCAACATTGTGCAATTGTCATAAACCTTTATTAAGCGGACACCCTCTATTGAGCGGACACTTGGGAAGGTCCCGAAGGTGTCCATTTAATAGAGGTTTCACTGTATCTGTAAAAGTCATCCTTTCTATTCCTTGAGGACTCTTGTTCATCCATCAATTCAAAATGCTCCCATGGTGTCATGGGTTGTGACTGTTTTAATTATTACTGACATGCAATCACAAAAAAGGCAATCATTTAGACTTTCAGTATTATATTAAGACTGAGGGTGTATCTTGGGATGAAGTGAAAACCAGAAACCAAATTAGTTCTATGACCAAATATTAATTTTATGGAAAAAAATCAGACCATTTTCTTTGGTTCCTGTGGTCTGATGATCTTGCTTGTAATTGGTTATAACACAATAAACATTCCAGACAGATTTTAGGCTTTCAGGATTTGACATGTTTGACAGGCAGTAATACCTTTGCTCCCCCAAAGACACCCAAAACCCCCACCCCCTACCTATAACATGGCACATTGCTTGGGACACAAACCAAAGATTGTCCACAAATTTAAAGTGCCTAGGAGGTAAAAAATAATTGCTGCTTATTTGAAAGGCTTTCAAAGTAAAATGAATGGCATTTTCTTTTTGGAATATCTTTTTTCATTTTAGAGATATTCACGTTTTTGTATTGTGCAAATGAGGAAAGCGATGACGTCATAAACAGTTCCACTTAAACAATAAAATACTGAATCAAGAATATCTCCATAAATATTGGAGCAGTGTTCTTCAAACTTGGCACCAGAAATGTGCATCACAAAAGAAACAGAATGATACCTACTATGTTATTGCCATGGCAACACTCTTGGCTCCAGTCTCTTTTTGTGAAAAACCAAATATCCCCATTTGCAACCTTTTAAAGTGGGACAGAAGGTTTTGCTCTGAACACACAGGGTTCCCATTTTGTCTTAACTCTCTCCATTAGATCGTTGGGAGTGGATGATCCTTTTTAGTACAAAATCTGGGAATTTTAGTCTTAATTAAAACAGGACCAGTGGTATGACTGTTGTCATGGCAATGGCATGACTGGTGTCATTTTGTTTCTTTTGTGATGTACATTTCTGGTGCCATGTCTAAAGAACACTGCAGCTTTAATATTTCTAGAAATATTCTTGATTGACTGTTGTACTGTTTTAGTTGAACTACCTGTGAAATCATCACTTTTCTCATTTGCATAATACAGAAACGTAAATATCTCCAAAACGAAAAAAGATATTCCAAAAAGGAAAATGCCATTCTTCTTTACTTTGAAAAGCAAATGAGCAGCAATTATTTTTTTACTTCATTGGCACTTTAATACAGATAGAAAAAAA